GTCTCCTTGAGTGACAAAAGCTAGTACTCGAAAGATACAAGCGGCAGCAGACGCGCCACTGGTGTCGGTTGCAAGCCATATCCTGTAAAGTCTCGAGCCAAGCACAAGGTGAGTCACGTGGACTCCAACCAGGAAGGCGAGACGGACCAACGGCACCCAGTTTGTTCCTCAGTGACTTCATTTGCCGCTGCCAAGTCAACTTCTGTCCACCTCGAGCCTTGCGCTACCCTACATCTGGTAGACTGAACAAGGCCCTCCTAGGTAAGCGGTGACCAGGCATGCGTAGCACGTGCCCGAGCCAACGCAACTTATTCAGTGCTATCTGTTGTTCTAGGGAGCTAGCATGATTATCACCACGTAATACTCGCCTACGCACATCATCGTTGCGGACACGCTGGTGCCATCCGACACCAGCAATGCTTCGCAAACAACGATGATCAAAGACTTGAAGGCGCCTCAGATCTTCAGACCAAAGGGGCCAAGTCTCACTACCATAGAGCAGAACGGCCCCCACTGTGGCCTTGTATGTACGGCCTTTCAGACGGAGGGAAACTCTCTTCTGTCGCCAATAATGACGCAGCTTCAAGAAGGTAGCTCTGGCCTTTGCAATGCGTGAGCTCACGTCAGTTTCTATGCGCCCATCATTGCTGATGCAGCTGCCAAGATAAGTGAATTGATCAATCACCTCGAGTTCCTCGTTAGCAAGTGTCAAGGGGGTCATCAAGCGGCTGGTGGTCCTGCAGCAGCACTTTGCACTTTGAAGGTGCGAAGTGCATACCAAATATTGGGACCACTCTGGATAGGCTATTCAGGGTTGATTGTGCCGCCTCAACATTGTTGAAAAGCAAGACGGTATCGTCCGCATAATCTAGATCAACTAACCTTTCACCAGGCAGCACTTCAACGCCTACATGGTGAGATTCCGCAAGGGAACACTCCATGATAGAATCCACGACGAAATTGAACAAAAACGGGGAAATCAGACAACCCTGACGAACACCACTTGTAGTCGAAAAGCTATCCGATAGGACACCGTAGACCCTGACGCGGCCTGTAGTGTTCGAGTATAGAGTTCGAAGGATGTTCACATATTTCGTGGGAACACCTTTTCGCGCAAGTAATACGAACAGAATCGATCGATTGACTGAATCGAACGCACTCTTGAAATGGAGGAACACAGCTATTGTCGGTCTGCGGTATGCGTGGCGCTGCTCTAGCGCCTGCCGCAAAGTAAATATATGGTCTATACAGCCACGTCCTGGGCGAAAACCAGCCTGCTCTTCCCTAATCCGAGATTCCCGTTCTGCAGTGAGGCGACGAACGAAAATCGAGGCCAGTAATTTTGTCACAACTGGTGTTAGGCTAATACCCCTGTGGTTCGCACAGTCTGTGCAACTGCCCTTTCTGTATATTGCCACTATAATCGATCCGCTCCAATTAGCCGGCACACTCTCTTCGTTCCAGATACGTTCGAATAGGGAGGTCAGTGCCGTGCAGAGGACCTCACCTCCATCCTTAAGTAGTGCAAGTGGGAGGGAATCCGGGCCAGCGGCACGAAAACGATAGAGGGCTGTGATTGCGTTTCGGACCTCGGCCTCCGACGGAGGATCTAAACTAACCGTCCATGGCTCGTCTTGCATCACCGGAGTAGGTAGGGGGTTCGGGAGTATGGCGCCAGCTAAAATGATATTGAAAGTGTTCCGACCAACGAGCCATACGGCGCTCCTTATTGTGTATCAGCGCACCCGCGCTGTCTCTGATTGTCTCACTGACGCCTGGTTTTCTGGGATCAGTAGTGGGGATTAGCTGGAAGAGCTTCCGGTAATTGCCTACTGCTCCTGCCTCCTCCATTTCTTGAGCTTGACTGGTCTACCAGGCTTCTTCTTCAGCACGTAGGCTCCGCTTAACTTTGCACCTAATAGCCCGTCTGGTCACATTGTGTTCAGAACCAGCCGGGAGGTGTCTTCTAGCTTCCAACAGGTTCACGGACCTCTCGGATATCCAGTGACTGGTGCGGTGACGACTGATAGTGCCACAAACAGATGCTCCTGCGTCGCGCTTAGCGGCCGAGATCCTATTCCACTGAAGTTCAGTGTCATTAGGACAAGACAGCGAGAGTTCGCTATGCAGTGCTTCTTGATAGGCTTGTCTGACCGAGGGCTGGGACAATTTCTCCGTTGACAACCGGGGGTAATGTTTGGTGCGCCTTCCGGTAAAGTTCATGGAGAAACGACAGCGTACCAAGGCATGATCAGAGTCGACACAGGTACTCCAGTACGAGCGGCAATCCAGAATGGAACCGCGCCACCTGTAACCTATGGCTATGTGGTCAATTTGGGTCCATCGCTGACCAGCTACAGGTGAATGCCAAGTAGCACTTCGGCGCCCACTGTCTAAAAACAGTGCTAGTAAGAAACAACTGGTGCTCCGCACACAGTTGCAGCAGACGCTCGCCGTTGTCAGTCCGTTCAGAGTTAAGTCCATACTTACCACCCAGCTGAGCTTCTGAAGAGCTCAGACGCCCTACTTCTGCGTTCATATCCCTTGCAAGTACTATAATATCTGAACTAGTAGCACTGCGTAGTAGCCCGTTCAGTTGGTGATAGAAAGTGTCCTTGGCTGCATTAGAACTGCATTCGGTGGGAGCATAAACAGAAATCACAAACAGCGTTTCGTACTACTTCGCGAATTCAAAGCTGATGTCGTCAAACGGGCTGCACATAAATGGCTGTTCACCGAAATCTAATCAACCAACGATGACTCAGCCTTGGAGCTGAGAATGATACCTACACTAACTTGACCCGTGAGTGCCACATCGGCGTCTCCGGATGCGTGCAACCGATAACGAGAGGATAAGCCGGGTGTAGTCAATTCGATAACCCCGTTAGGGTCATTAATCCTAGTTTCGGACACACAATGCACATCAACACCCAGTGTGTCCAAGGTGCGTGCGAGTGCAGCCTGCTCATCTGTTTGTCTTAGAGTGCGGACGTTGAATGTCGCCATGGAAACGGGACAGCGTGGCCTTATAAGGGACTTTTGCCGATAGGCGTCCGATAGGTGCTGTGGGATGGTGGCTGCAGATGGTACTACTTCAGTAGCACTTCGATTGCTGTCAATTAAGCTAGGAATTAAAGAAGGAAGGTTAGTAATGGGGGCCGGGATGGGAGTAAGAGAAAAAGGTGGAAAAAAAGAAGGGAGGCGCCAGCAGTAGCATGCTTTCGCTTATCCGCCCTGCTGTATGCAGCAGATAAGGCGACCCTTGATAATCTGCGCGACGGCCGATGCAGGGTGAAGTTTTTGTTTGAAGAAAATGTCATGGTTGTATGTGGGCTGGGATACTGCCACGGCGCCCAGACCTAGACAGGAGGACGATTAGGGTCCTCATCCAAAGCCTTTGGCTCAAAAGCCTGTCCGCAAGGCAGCGGGGTGGCAGTGACAGTTTTACAGAAATGGACGCCATCCGATTTCAAACCCCCAACCTGGAGGACCAGGAGACTGAATTTTTCTGACCTCTCACCATTGACCAACCCGGTAGGAGTAGCTCTCAAGATGCTCGGAGGCATCACCCAGTATAGTTCAATGGGTCAATGAGGTACGCAAACCGTCGCACCACGTTAAGGTCCAGTCTCGTTGCGACGGAGGTCTCAGTGAACGCGAGTACATCTATTAGGGTCTATTAGGGCCCCTACTTCCCAAGAAAGAGGGAAAGTGCCGGAGTTGAATAGGAAGATAAGGATAACAGGAAGTAAAACCAACCGATTTCTTGCCTTGTAACTTGTTACCGTGACACCCGCCGACTGGATACACACGGAACGACATACTAACGATAA